TCTCTCTCTCTCTCTCTCTCTCTCTCTCTCTCTCTCTCTCTCTCTCGCACGCACGCGCGCGGGGAGTACCCTGACTCTGTACGCAGGTGCAAAGCTCCCTTTAAGAGACAAAGCTCCGCCCACTCTCTTCCTCTTTCTGCAGTTTTTTCTGAGGCGGGTCTCTACCTCTGTCTCTCTCTCCCACCACTTCCCCCCTTCCCCAATAAACTTCCTTCCCATGTAAGCTCTGTCTGATGGTGTGTTCGTCCCCCGCCCTGGGAACCACAGTCCCACCTTGCGCTGCATATCATTACATAGACTGCATCTGTGAAGGGTAGCTATCTGTCTGGGGGTCCCAGGTGACATTCCTGGGAAGGAGAAGAGAGCTATGAACAGAGGTGGCTCAGCACTCGATGTATTCTGCACTGGGTATGAAGTGCTCAGGGAACTCCACCCTGTGGGAAACACCGGCAAGAGCCAGGCTACTGAGCTGGGAGAGCCCCTGGAAGTGGCTAATGTGGATTGAAAAGACAGAAACAAGAGGAATGACAGTGAAGGGAGGGGGAGAACAGAGGAAGGTCAAAGGTGGCCCTGGGCCCATACTATAGCTTAAAGTCTGGCAGAAGACCAACGACCTACTAAAGAGGCTGGAAAGAGGAGCAGGTGAAGAAGAGCAATACTAGAAATAATAGAAACTTGATGTGTGGCCTTAAGGAAGGAGGCAGGGGAGGCGAATAGTAGGTGGACAAATGACTGGACAATGAGGGAATAAATGCATATTTTTATTATATTATATCTGGGAATCTTGTTGTTATTACTGTTCTGTAAGGAAAGAAATTTAACTGTATTTATAAATCGGTTCAGAATTGGTCTTTGAAATGGATCATGAGCACAGTTGGAGACAGGAGTCACAGAACAGCATCAGATTGACTCTGAGACCAAAAGTCTCTGGAAGAGATGCCTTGATGGTTAAGAGCACTGGCTGCTCTTCCAGAGAACCCAAGTTCAATTCCCAACACCCACATGACAGCTCACAACTACACATAACTTCAGTTCCAGGAATCTGATGCCCTCTTCTGGTCTTCATGGGCACCAGGCATGAAAGTGGTTCACAGAGACATGCATGCAGGCAAAAAACCCACACACATTAAAAAAAAAAAAGGTAATAATAAACAAAATAAAAATTTTAAAGATAAAGAAATAGAGGGAGGAGAGAAGATGGTGTAATTGCATTTTAGTTTAAAAAAGAAAGGGTTTCATGAGTACGCTGGCAGTAGCCCCGCCTCTGCTGAGAGGAGTGGGAGGACCTTCCAGTGGGAGGAAGGTCTATGCTCAAGACCTTACACTAGCAAGTGAAGGATTTGGTTTCAGACCTCAACTGGGGTTCCAGATCTGTGACTTGGGCTGGGAACTCGGGAGACCAGAGAGAATGAAACTGTTTTCAAGTGCACCATGGAGTTGTTCACAATCTGAGCAGCAGCGGTGAGGGGGATGGATCCTTTCAGTGACTAGACAACCAACCCGCTTCTAGGCAGCCAGTCTCCACTGACTGCCAAATGATAGGTAGACACGGATTTGAAGGGCCTTGACCCAATGCCTCCCAAAACATGGAGACAGAGATATTTTGTGATGGCCAACACAGTCCCCCCGCACACACTTCTATCAAAACCTGTTCTTCTTTGTGCTTTCGCAGTTGCCTTTGATAGTCTGTTAGACCCAGAATCTAAATATACTGAAAAACAAGTTTTTAATTTCATGATCAAGGTGAGTCTATTATTTATTCAAACACTCCCAGAAGAAAAGGGGGAATATATTTCATCCCTCCTTTGGAGGGATGCTTAACAGTTAAAAAGAAATAAGGGGTAGAGAGAGACAGTTATGTTTGAGTTGCATTTTAAATAGGTTGCTTGCATCCTGGGTACTTTTCATACTGTGGAAATCTACAGAGCTGGGAGCCTCTCAGGTACAGCTCCATGGTCAGGCATGACCTGGCAAGACCAGCTTAGTACACAGGGGTCAGCAGGACCAGGACACTTCTGTAGTGTCTAGTGCCTTGACATTGGAGGCCTGTCAGCGGGAATATTTAAAACCGTAAATGGGAACTGCTGCCTCTTCGTTTGCAAACCTATTCCCTCCTGTACATCCAGAACACAGCTACTACAGAGGGAGAATGTTGTGGTGGTTTGAATAAAAATGACCCTCATAGGCTCATATATTTGAGCACTTAGTCATTAGGGAGCAGTACTGTTTGAGAAGGATTAGGAGGTGTGGCTTTACTGGGGTGGGCATGGTCTTCTTAGAGCAAGTGTGTCATTGGGAGTGGGATTTGAGTTTTCAAAAGCCCAAGCAAGGCCCAGTTCTCTCCCTTGGTCTATGGATCAGGATGTAGCTCTCAGCTACTGATCCAGTGGCATTCATGCCACAATGGTGATAATGAACTAAATCTCTAAAACTGCAAGCAAGCCTGTAATTAAGTACTTTCTTTTATAAAAGTTGCCTTGGTCTTGGTGTCTCTTCACAGCAATAGAACAGTGACTAAGACAACCATCCAGGGAAAAGTGACAGTTTATTCTCCTTGAGGCAAAGGATATGTGTTTTCCAGATGCCTAAATTAAGAACAAAAAGAAACCAAAAAGTTAGTAGCCATTTGTCTTAGAGTGTCTATTGCTGTAAAGAGACACCATGCCCATGGAAACTCTTATTTAAAAAAAAAAAAACATTTAATTGGGTGGTTTACAGTTCAGAAGTTCAGTCCATTATAATCATGGTGGGACACGGCAGCATGCACACAGACGTTGTGCTGGAGAAGTAGCTGAGAGTTCTACAACTTGTGTAGGCAACAGGAAGTGAACTGTCTCATGGGGTATGGATTTAGCATATATGAGACCTCAAAACCTGACTTCATAGGGACACACTTCCTGCAACAAGACCACACCAATCCAAAAAGGCCACACTTCCTAATAATGCCACTCCCTTTGGGAGACATTTTCTTTCAAACCACCACACCATTACACACAAGATCTAGCCATCCAAGAAAGCAGGAGACATCAGCATCTCATATCAGCTTCTAAAGAAAGAGATGGCTCAGTGGCTAAGAGCACTGGTTGCTCTTCCAGAGGATCCAGGTCCAATTCCCAGGACCCACATGGCAGCTCACAACTATCTGTAATTCCAGTTTAAGGGGCCTGATACCTATGGCAAAACCCCAATGCACATAAAATAAAAACAAATACTGAAAGAAAGAAAGAAAGAAAGAGAGAGAGAGAGAGAGAGGGGGGGAGGGAGGGAGGGAGGGAGGGAAGGAGGGAGGGAGGAAGGGAGGATGGAAGGAAGGAAGGAAAGAAGGAAAGAAAGAAAGCCTTCTTGGAACTGAGACTGCTGAGTTAGGCTAATAATTAAAGGTCCTGGGTGATAATAAGCCAGACTGTAAGTCGCAGTTTATCACCAGTGAGCATTAGCAGCCAATTCACGCTGCCTGAGGACACCACACAAGCCCTCAAGACATGGAGCGATACTCAAAATCAGGGATTTTGTTGTTGTTGTTGTTTTTACAGAGAGCCTTGCAGCACTTCCTTACCGACCTAGAAACAAAGACCTGCCCCACTCTGCATCTCTCATCTGGCCAGGACCCAGGAAAGCACTCTGCACTGGCTCACTCGGGTTCTGAGTGTTCTACAGTGGTACCAGCAAGAGCAAGAAAATCAGGACACCTGAAAAATCTCTATGGCTTGTAATATGCCCTGTCTCCTCTAAAATTAATGATGTAATTTGGTTGCCACTAGATGGCTGCTGGGAAGTGTGGCCTTTAAGTGATAGGCCATTAGAAGAGTTTTCTTATTACATTACGTTATTACAGAGTGTGCATGCGTGCGTGCGTGTGAGTGTGTGTGTGTGTGCGTGTGTGTGTGCGCGCGTGCGTGTGTGCGTATGTACAATCTGCAGGAGTCATTTCTCTTTCTTCCCACCATGTAGGTCCTAGGTAAAGAAAATTCTCAAGACTAGGACTATACTACAGGCCTAAAGCGCCAGGAAAACTGCCACCCATGGAATTTCAGAAAGTATCCGACTGCCCTGGACCCGGAACATTGCAGAAACAGGCAATCTGACTTCTCTCTCTCATTCTGTAGCTTTTTGTTTGTTTGTTTATTTGTTTGTTTGGTTGGTTGGTTGGTTGGTTGGTTTGGGGAAACTGGGGGAGGGGTACAGTTCTCAGAAAAAAAATAGCAGTTTTTCCAGAAAAGTGGGGTCTGGCCATACCCCACTCTCTCCCTAGTCTCAATTTCAAAAACTGCAGGTTTTAGGTCAACCTGAGTTCTCATTCTTCATTTCATCCAATATAC